TTTGACACTAAATGGTCACTAGGATGTTTATACAACATAAAGACAATAATGGTAAGTTTAAAACTGAAAGATCATATAGTACTTTAAAATACGAGGGTTGTCCCATAAAATCGTGGACAAAGCGTTTTTTCTCGAAAAGTAATGGGCGCACCAAGCTGAAACTTTCAGTAAATGCTTATTCATCATATTTAAGTGCATCATTATGTTTTTGATAATATATAGACAAAAATAAAGATTTTATAATGCTTGAATGTGCACAGGGTACGGTCCTACGGCGCACGGTAAAAATAACAAGGTTATATTAGAGAATACACAAGAATTAATTCGTAATAAAAGTTTGCAATAAATAAAAATGGAATGAAAAGTATCATAATTCGATTCCTTAATCAATTTTGTCGTCTCTATGAAAATTTCAAGGCATTTGGTTAATTTTTGGTAGTTTCCCGATTTTTCGAAATTGGAAAGTGATAAACACAATACTAACAAAATCGCGATTTTTGATGACGTTACGGCGCACCGGAGAGCAGTTCAGTTAGATTTGGATGTTGTAATGATACCTTAAGAGACTTTAAATGATTACAGAAGAAAGAAAATATGACAAAAATCACCAGATCTTTAGAATATAAATGAAATGGAAGTTTTCTTAGTGAATTCTTTTTGATTGAGTCCTCAGGTAGTACAAAATATACGGACAAACTGCTATTGTAATAGCAAAAGAGGCTGTCATTGTCGACCGTTGATATGAGATTCTCTGTTATTTAAATGCTGGTGAAAATACTGTCCAAAACGTGCTAATGAATTTTCAAAAGATTGCATGTGTGTGCCAGATGGGTTCCTTATCTGGTTATAGACACTCAGGTTTGTGATTTGGAAGATTTTTTGTTCGTATATGAATCGACGGAATTTTTAAATTTAAGTGGGACTTATCCAACTTTATTTTAGCAAAGATGATACGTGACGCTGTTTTAGACACTTTGACGTTATCATCCGTGCGCCGTAGGGCGATACAATACATGACATAACATCTAATAATTTGTTTATTTATGCAGATATCTATTTGAAATTTGCTCTGTATATTCATAATATATGTACTAAAAAGTAGTGAAAATTTCAAAACGTAGAGATGATTACTTTTCAAACTAGACAACTTGTCCACGATTTTATGGGACAACCCTCGTATCCTGTTCACAACATTTGTTAGCAATGCTTGCACAGATGGATGTGTTACTACATATATATATCCTTTATTTGCAATTTTTTTGGGAAGGGATGGCTTAATTGGCTTTTTGGCCAAAATCCTCAATTGAGACCCCTTGCTCTCATTATTAAACTTTATAATCTCTGTGGACATATAAGGCAGATGGAATTCCTAAGAAACATCTTTGTTTTTTTAAATACATTATGATGAAATTCATTTTGAAAAATATTGGCAGGCTTTATGAGTTTTTTCAAACACAGCTATAGCTTCTTTTTTTTTTTTACGAGATTATAATAGCCAATCCCTTAAGGTTTAAAGTGCCATTTCAAAATCGAATAACAATGGTAGCAAATAGAAAGATTCAATATAACTGAACTTTTCAAAAATTTACCAAGATGTCTTTACCTGGGAAAAATAAAAATTTCATTTTGTAGGAAAAGCGATATATTTGTGAGTAAAAGTGGTAGGTGGGAGATGTAATGAAAATGCTATAGACGGAAAAATCAATAGAGTTAACATGTACCGTTATGTCTTTTGCTAGACTTGATAACTAATTTGATAAAAACTCAAAAGGGAAAAAGACACTGACTTGATCTTTCATCAATTTCAAAAAAATTTCCACCAACATCCTTGTTGCATCATATTGTTTACAATAACAAGGAGTAAAACTGTTTTTAATTAAGATATAAATGACGTTTTCAACAAGGTGTGTTATACACATGTAATGATTTAACAGTTTGAAATCATACCCAATAAGGAAAATTATCGTCATATATTAAAAGGGTAATTGCAGTATTTGAATTAAAACATAATTTTCTCTGTTACAGTGAACATCTCGAGAAAATATACATAAAACACATCTTTTGGTATACCAGTAAAGTTCTGCATGGCTGGGGAACCAATAGACCAGTACTTAGTAATTAAGGTAAGATTATGGGCCACTTATCCACCATGTGAGCACTGAGGCCCACTGGCATCTTGTTTTAAAATTGTGATTGCTTGATCTTGTATGTTTTTTAATATTTATTAATATTTATATTATCAAATTATAAATATTTGCTATTACGGTCTCTGTTGTGGTGGTGGCATTTTGCTGAATAAAATTCAGAGTTTTACGGATCAAGATTTAGTTCACAAGAACATTTACCCAGTTAAATACTGAAAATCTAGAAAATACAAATTTGTTTTAATTTAATGCATCAACTGAAACAAGAGCATAGAATTCTTAGTATCGCAACTTTGATTACAGTATTCCAACTAAGTTGCCTAATGAAAATTTTTAAACTACATCATAAACTGAAGGTTTCACGTTTTATTTTTTATGGCCCTATGGTTCTTGAGAAAAAACAATTAAAAGACACCACCTCACTTAATTATAATTATTCCCCTCTGAAAGAGGACATAGTCCTTTTCATTTATTTAAGGAAACTTTACAAACCCTCACCAAAATATGCTTTTTGGCAAAATTATTTGATATTGGCCAAGTGGTTCTGCAGAAAAAAGGAATTTTACTGACTGATAAACAGACAGGATGGACAAAATGTGATCAAAAAGCTCATTTGAGCTTTCAGATTGGTAAGCTGAAAAAAAATGAAAACCCCCAGAATTTGATGATGGTTGAAACAGTACACTATTTCACTGTACAATGTACTTATGCTCAGCACAAATTTGAGTATTTGCTTTACAAGGCCTTATATTACCAGAGCAGGAGGGGGAAGAGGGGGGATTTCTTCAATATGTCTGTACTCTGGGACTTTAAAAAATATGAAAAGGCTTCTGCTTAACAAAGCCCAAATTCAATCCACTTGTATACTAAATATCATAGTGATGTTTTAATCTAGATCTAGTGTTTTAATCTTCTTTTATTGTTTAAAGTCTCAAAATTAAGGCATCATTACTTACTGTGCATCTGATGTCTTGTGTATATCATTTACCATCTCAAATCTTCAACAAAAAAAATGCCAACAAAAAGAAGCAGGTGTACTGAATTTTTATCTGTTGAAAATTTAAGAATAGTGTGAGCATCTACATATATATCCAACAGAATTATTGTCCACAATTTCACTGGACAACTCTCACACATATACATTAGTTTGCATATTTTTCAACATTCAAATTATACATAAGTTTAAATTTTTCTAGTCTAATTTTTTCAAGAATTAGCTTCACACTTCTATGCATGAGTATAAGAATTACTCACATATGCATGGTTATCATTTTTTTAATGTGTAAGGTTTATATTATTATCATGAAAGATAGATTGCTGTAGATCATTTGAACCTAATGGGCCCTCTCCCCTGAGTTACCTATCATAGTGCTTCAGTATCTACTTAATAATTTACACGAAAAATAATAAACCAACAGCTTGAAAGCTAGATAGAGGTCCGTCATATTTCATTTGTTTTACAAAAAAATTCTTTCAGCAAAACTTTATTAATGGTTAAAGCAGTCTTTTGAAGTCATGCAAATGTTCTAGATCTTTAGCTATTTAATGTACATAGAACTAATGAAGTCATAATAAAATACAGAAATTATTTCAGATGATTTGAGAGAATGTAGTTTTAAGGTTCTTTCCAAACTGTCTTACACCTAACATTTGTACGTAAATATTCACTGGATCTTTAATGTGATAAGAAGAACCAAACATTTCAGAATGATTGTCGAAATAAGTGATTCTTGGAGGTATCAACATTCAAATGTAAATTAAGTCAAAATTCATATTGGCCAAGAGCAAGAATTAATTGGCAAGGAGATCTGTATTGGTGGTACCGGCATTTATGAACATGGTAAATATAAACATTTTTTATCCTATGGACTCATCCAGATTAAAAATTAAAAATTAAAAAATTGTCTTCTTTTTTTTTAAAATGCTTCAAGTGGGCAAATAATTAAGTCAAATATTCATTTCACCTGAGAGTGTATTACAGTTTGATATTTTCCCTCTCTGATCTGACTATTTTTTTTATGATGTTCATGATTTAGAGGAGATTATTAAGTCTGCAGCATTTCTTTGACCTCTGCAATAACTGTATAAGAATTTGTGATAACAAAGTTTTAGGTTTTAAGTTGAAATCTAGATTATAATATAGATAAAGCTAGAAATTTCTTCAAAGAACCTTGAACCATGATGATCAGGTTAAATAAAGTTTATATTTACATCCAATTAAACAGAAATGATGCATGTGTATAATGTTTTGAATTGAAAATTAACCGAAATTCAAAAGCTTCTTAAAAACTTCCATATATGAAGCATATTAATATATTTTGGGCTTTTGAATTATTTTACTGAAACAATGGGCCATGATAATATTTTTAATAAGGAAGAAAATGTGTATCTTAATTAGTGCCCAAATAGGAATTCAGGGTGTTTTGGTGCTTGCACTAGCAATGATACATGGGCTATAATGTTGGGAATAAAAACTTTGTTGAATCATTGAATCAATTTAATTTCAGGCCTATATCCAAGTCAAAGCTAGGGTTTACTGTCAAAAGGACAAGTAAAACTCAAAGTTTATAATCATGTCTTTCCTTGTTTCCTAATTATATAATAGTAAAGAACAGAGTATCATTTGTCCTTCTCCAAGATTAACACCCTCTTGCTCTGTCGCTATAAATTTTCCCCCATTCATTGGTGAAATAGCGAAATCAATACTTCATTATGCTGAAAAATCAGTCCAAATAACAAACAGACACTAATTAATTATGAGAATGGTTTCATTATGTCCTTCTGTCTGACAAATCTGGAGATTTTTTCTGAGATTATTTAAAATCCACTAATAGTTACAGACTTATGTTTCTTTTAATTTTTCATATTGGAAGTGAATATTTTTTTTCAAATCCTTGGCTTGTAGACCATAGTATCTGAGAGATCTATCTAGCCTACAGATTTAGAAGCCACTACTGTTGAAATTGCAGCAGCAATTTAATGCTAGAATATTATGTTTCAAACTTGTGGTGTGATGTTTTCCACGAGATTGAAATTAGGGAATTATCTTATATCACTGACATTTGAGGATAATTAAAAATATGTAATTACAGGGTAAGTTTTCAATAATAAATCCAAATTTTATTCAGCATATTTAAAGGATGTAATTTTGCTTTCAAATTGAGGTTATAATAAAATTAAAGAAAACTCTTTTTTCTTTTTTAAATAAGTAGAATTTAATGGAACAATGTTTGTAAAATGAAAAAAGTGTCAATTCCATTAAATGTTAATTTGATTTACAGTTTGTTACAGATTGTTTTTTTTTTCTAATTGAATTTTTTAACTTTAATAAATTTAGTTTTTTACATGAAATCATAAACAGGATTATTTTTATCTTCTTTAACATTTTTATGATTATACAGTATGATAAAAATGACTCATGAAAGATTTATGTCAAAAGACACAAATAAAAATGGTAAAGTACTTAAAGTTCTTGCAAGCCATATTGTGACAATATCTCTTGTCTGAAGCCTCATATTTTCTACTCATGGATTAAGCAGAAATTATGATTCTGCAAAATTATGAATTATGGAAAAGTACAGTAATTCAGAGAATGCAGGTCTTACTTAAGCAGAGGGTTGAATATGGTGGTGGAGGGAGGGGGATGGGTGGGAATACACAAAAAAAGGTCTACCTTGATCATTCAGCTTTTGGTTTTTAGGTCAAAATGGTCTTTTTTTTAGGTTAAAGAAATTGTCCCAATTATTAGCAAATTAAAGCTTACAGACAACTAAAGTTATCATCTGAAAACTATGTATGAAACACATTAATTCCTGACCTTTACCTTTAAACTTTAAAACCCAAAGGGGTTGTTTCAAGTCGTAAGGCATATTCATTGCAAAAGTTCAAAAGTTTTTTAGAATAATCATCTAGAAATAGAAGTGTTACACAAAGACAGAAGGTATAAACTTTGACCATGACATTTGACCATTTGGCCCCATTAATATCAATGGGTTTTTTTAGGGGGAGATGTGATTTTAAATGTTAATGAAAAAATTTCAAAGAAAACTAAAGTTGTTACCAGTAACTGAGTTCTTAAGTCATTTACATTGTATATCAGGTAAAGTCCGTTTTTTTTTTTTGTCTTTCTTGATTGGGCTCTAAACAGTCCTGATTGGGCTCTAAACATTCCTGATTGGGCTCTTAACATTCTTGATTGGGCTCTAAACATTCTTGATTGGGCTCTAAACATCCTTGATTGGGCTCTTAACATTCTTGATTGGGCTCTAAACATTCTTGATTGGGCCCTTAACATTCTTGATTGGGCTCTAAACATTCTTGACTGGGCTCTTAACATTCTTGATTGGGCTCTTAACATCCCTGATTGGGCTCTTAACATTCTTGACTGGGCTCTAAACATTCTTGACTGGGCTCTAAACATTCCTGATTGGGCTCTAAACATTCTTGATTGGGCTCTTAACATTCTTGATTGGGCTCTAAACATCCTTGATTGGGCTCTTAACATTCTTGATTGTGCTCTAAACATTCTTGATTGGGCTCTAAACATTCTTGATTGTGCTCTAAACATCCTTGATTGGGCTCTTAACATTCTTGATTGGGCTCTAAACATTCTTGATTGGGCTCTTAACATTCTTGATTGGGCTCTAAACATCCTTGATTGGGCTCTTAACATTCTTGATTGTGCTCTAAACATTCTTGATTGGGCTCTAAACATTCTTGATTGGGCTCTAAACATCCTTGATTGGGCTCTAAACATCCTTGATTGGGCTCTTAACATTCTTGATTGGGCTCTAAACATTCTTGATTGGGCTCTAAACATTCTTGATTGGGCTCTTAACATTCTTGATTGGGCTCTAAACATTCTTGATTGGGCTCTTAACATTCTTGATTGGGCTCTAAACATCCTTGATTGGGCTCTTAACATTCTTGATTGTGCTCTAAACATTCTTGATTGGGCTCTAAATATTCTTTATTGGGCTCTAAACATCCTTGATTGGCTCTTAACATTCTTGATTGGGCTCTAAACATTCTTGATTGGGCTCTAAACATTCTTGATTGGGCTCTAAACATCCTTGATTGGGCTCTAAACATCCTTGATTGGGCTCTTAACATTCTTGATTGGGCTCTAAACATTCTTGATTGGGCTCTTAACATTCTTGATTGGGCTCTTAACATTCCTGATTGGGCTCTAAACATTCTTGATTGGGCTCTTAACATTCTTGATTGGGCTCTAAACATTCTTGATTGGGCTCTTAACATTCTTGATTGGGCTCTAAACATCCTTGATTGGGCTCTTAACATTCTTGATTGGGCTCTAAACATTCTTGATTGGGCTCTAAACATTCTTGATTGGGCTCTTAACATTCTTGATTGGGCTCTTAACATTCTTGATTGGGCTCTAAACATCCTTGATTGGGCTCTTAACATTCTTGATTGGGCTCTAAACATTCCTGATTGGGCTCTATACATTCTTGATTGGGCTCTTAACATTCCTGATTGGGCTCTATACATTCTTGATTGGGCTCTTAACATTCTTGATTGGGCTCTAAACATTCCTGATTGGGCTCAAATCAGGAGACTGGGGAGACCAACTAATCTGAGAGTTCATAGGCTTATCTTCCTTCCCCATAGTATTGTATGTGATTCATTCCCATACTGTTATTTTAATAGTGGAAGACAACATTCATGTGCCAAATGGTCCAAGCAAACAGGTCTCTATTTCCAGAAGAATCCTTTCATCATAAAAAATCACCATCTTTCACAGGTTATTGACATTCCAATCTAACTTCCTTCTGCACACCATCAAGCTTATCGTTTCTTTTTGTTTACGTTCCATATTCCTATAGACTTCTGACAAGATCACCTTGTATAACCCATGGAGTGAATTTGGATCCATTGTATTTTGTGCGTCAAGAAGCTTAATTCAATGTTCTGTCACAGTGTTGAATTCTACTGTTTATATATCCTTCAAAGTTGTCCTAATCCAGAATTTTTATAAGTGGGCAAGAAAGTGTCATTCTCCTCTTACAGTTATATTTCAGGGTCTTCTGTATGTGGCTTATTTTCTGCAGTTCTAATTCAATTTCCAATGTTCCCTTCAACACTTTAAAAAATATCCAAATTGTAGACTTAAGGTTTATCTTTAAATATTTTGAAATTTCTAATGCTCTGTCTCCACTTTTTTTTAATTGTATGATAACATTTACAGTCTCATCTGACAATTAATTGCTGTCTTCATTTTGTAAAAAAAAAAGTTGAGCTATTAACACATTGTTTCCAAATGAAATTCACAAACAAAAAATCAGGAAATTAAAACTCAGTAACCAATACTTCTCTTCTAAAAAAAAATCTATATGACATTGTTAAATCTTTCTCCAGCGTAATTTTGAAGTTTTGAAATGGTATATATGCTGTATTAAAGTTTCCCCCTGTCTTTCTTTATTCATCTGTCTGTCCCCTTTCTGTCTGTCAAGTCAGCCTAGCTTATTTGTCCCCCCCCCCCATTTACCCTTAACACTGGCAGATATTATAAACTGATTTTTGATATACATTTGAGCCTTAATGAGTTGCAAACAAGTTTGCATTTTGTTCTTTGATTTTTTTTCATGGAATTATGCCTTTTTTAAAATTGCTATATGCCAGGAACTACCTTTCCAATTTGGCTTTGGTTGAAAATTTTCTGCCTTTTGTTCCACTTTGGTGATTTTGAATGAATCAAGACCTTTTCTATTTTTCAGAACCAAATTACACTTTCTGTAAAGGGACTGTATTATCATTAATGCAATGCTCTGAGAATGCTCATTACCTTTGTTGTACAAAGCAGGGCTGAAAATCACTAAATAAATTCACTTTTATTCAGAGTCATGAACTGCTTTAGGATGGAAAATGATTATATTTTGCATTAAACAGAGAGTCTCTGTACTAAGATTTTTTAAAAAATCTATTTTAAAAAAATCTTTGGAAGTAATTTAAAAGTGCATATATACAGAAAGGTGTTAAGTAAATACAAGTTGTCACTATTTTGAGTTTGACTGTTCTGTAATATATACCAGAGACTGTAGCCCTACTGTTTTTAAATTAGATTCAATTTTTTCAGAACAAGTGAAAAGTAGCACCAATAAATACTTATTTTTTAGAAGATACATTTGTTCAATCATGTATCTTCAATTTTAGTACAGTGTATTTTTCTAATTTTGAAAGTTTCTTGCCTGAAGAATATCGATATAAATGCAATGATTTTTTTTTTTTTTTTTAATTTAATCAAAGTATTGTAATCCTTAAAGATCAAGGCAAAATAATACATGCATAGGGAAAAGGCACCTACCAAAATCAATGCATAATTAACGAACACTTCTATTTAGTGTCTATTTATCCCCGATTTAATCATTTAATCAAGCAATCAATAACTAGGCTTGATCTGTACATGCAAGCATCATATAAATGATGAGCTTAACATCAGATCTTATCTTGATAAAATAAAACCAGTAGCCAATCTGACAAGGAATCATTGCTAAATAAGCCAGGGAATAAATTCTATATATCAAGAGCACCACAAATCTGTGTAATTCATGTCCACAAGTCTTAAATACTGTATAGGGGGAAAATAACTCACGGTCTTAATATTCGCTATATTCACTGTGTCAATAAATCCGTGAATTCAAGAAACAGTGAATAAATTTCCAATAATCTTCATGTTTTATTTGGAAATTTGAGAATAGACTACGACAGAATTAGATACATTTACGTGCAGTACATGGTCATTTCAGCCTAATTACTAGTAGTACTTGTCATTCTATCATTTTAATTATCACACTCTACTTTAATTCAAAGCAGCAGATACATGTAATGATTTGTATTTGTTAAAATGCCGTTTTAATAGCCGATGCTACATGTTTCATCAATCAAAACACATGGGCCATGAATTTTGATTACCAGTGGGTAACTAAAGTTACCACGTGTATTTGTTACCTGCATTATTATGCATATTATTTTTTATCGACATTTTGATTTTAAAAATCATTCAAATAACTATTGAGCTTTCTGCAGACATGGAAAGATATCATTTTGTTGACCTATATTAACTAATTTATTACTGTCCAGTGGTTTTTCGCCGCTATTGAAGATCTTAGGATGTACATGCACTCATCGTAAAAGTCATTTGACGTTTATAGTCAGACTTTGATAACAGCACTTGTTTTAATTAAAAGTCAATTATTTATTATATCTAACAATTTAATGTCAACCTACCATGTTGTTTGTGAAAAAGAACAAAACACTGATTAATGTCGTTTATATGTTGCTACGATATGGAATAAACAGAATATAGTCAAGGGAGGTAACTTTCATTACATTATACATACCAATTTCGCGAATTCAAGAAACCGTGATCGTGTCAGATGAGAGAAAAACGTGAAAATTACAACCCGTTAAATTAATCCCCTATACAGCAGTGCGAAATTAACAATGCATATATGGAAATAGTACAAAAGTAAAATCTTATATTTCTACTTTTATTTTCTGAAATCAGTTTTGTATGGCCATCACAACATACTTAAAACTATTATAGTACTTAACAAAATCACTTAAAAGAAAAGCAATAGAATTGGCTAAAAAACTGAATCATTAAAATTTTTCACAGTCTTTAAAAGCCGTTATTTCTTTCCAAACTGGTCAATCAATTTTTTCCCTATATGTAAAACTGTGATTGATAATTGAGATGTCCCACAACTGATACTAGTACTGAAAAAAAACTTGAATCTTTAAACAATGCAAGAAAAGATGCATGTATTCCTCAAGCATCTTGGAATCGTCCAAATTAAAGCAATAAGAACAAGTAGTTGTATTTTATTAACAATAAGAAACTTTTATCCACAAATTATCACATACAAGGGTCATTAAAAAAGTTTGTAGACTTGGCATATTAACTTTTCTTTATTTAAAGTCATATTACAGGTACAACTAAATTTGGTACACATATATTAAAAACAGATTAAAATAATTTAAATTCTGAACTAAAAAATTGGAGTATATCTTGATTTTTTTTTTAAACTTATAAACAAAAACCTGGTCATGGAGCAGGGTCAGAATTGAGTTATTTACTAATTAAACACTTTATATTTATGTTTATAGCTTTTATAAATAGCATGTAAAATGAAATAAAATTTGAATCTTTTCATTAAGTACTGTTCTATTACTTCAAATTGACTAGAAAACTGACCAGTCAGCAAGGGCCCCACCATGGGGTAGAATTATAAGAGTGCAGCTTATGGAATGATTAAAAATATATGATGAATAAGAAACAGCAACTGTATTCTTAAAATTTCAAGATAATTCCTGAATTCCCAAAAACGTGTAAATAATATCCTTGTATTTACATAAGGCAGTAGAGAACAACTCAACACTGAATGTATATCTAAGCAATAATGAAGCTTGTGTTATATAAAATGCCAGGCTTCAATAAATGCAAATACATATCATGAAGACTTGACCTTAACTTCAAAACAAACAGCAGTTGCAGAGAAAGGTTTTCATTAATCTTAAAGTGACAGATAAAGATAAGCCTTCTAAATTTTCTGCAGCAGACTAGATAATTAATCCCAAGGGTTTAATTGTACTTCTCTCTCATCAATTTCTTCTTAATTTATAATAAAAACATTTTCAATAATGATAGAATGAGGTTTTTATCCTACTACCTTAAAAATTTATAATATTCTTTAATTTTCATAAGCAGAAAAAAAAAGGAATAAATAAATTAAAAAATATATAACTTCTTTAACCTATTTCTTGTTTTTAGAATTCAATGAAATCAGAACTCATTGTGTAGGGTATTTCAACAAAAATAAAGTAAAAACATTTATATACTTCAATCCACATAGCATTCCAAATGGACTTAACTTCAAAACAATTTTTTATTTGCAGACAGAGGTGGTAATTAATCTCAATGTGACAGATAAAGATAATGCTTTGGATTTTCCTCAAGGAGGAAAGCTAATTAATCCCAGGGGACTCATTCATTGCAGTATTCAGTTTACAATGGGAACATTTTCAGAAGTTATCTCTCTTCGCCAATTCATTCTTATATAAAGTGAAGAAATCTACCCCACCACCCCAGCTCCAAACCAGAGAACATAGAGAAACAAACTTATCATCAAAATATGTCTTTTTGCCTACTGAACTACCATACCAAATTTGAATTTAATTGGGCTACCATAAAAAAAGTTATTAGGAAAAAACAGAAAATTTGTGGACGGAAGAATGACAGACGGACAGACAGACGGACGGACAGACAGACAGAGTGATTACTATAGGGCACCCACAAATCCTTGCTGGGCCGCCCTAATAAAAGGTAATGCAATACATTGCTTTGTTTAAAAGATACCAAATTCTAAAGACAGAAAGACTTGATTAACAAGATGTGTTTGTGAAACACTGAGGCAGCTTATGGCTAGGGTTGAATTCTCTAAATGCATGTCAAACTCCAAAGGTCAAGGTCAAAAGGTCAAAGGTGTTTGTACCCAAAGGCAGGTCTTGTTACAAAGAATACCAGGCCTGTGAAATATGAAGCCCTAGTTCTAAGTGTTCAAAGGTTATGACCAAGGTTAATGTTTTTAAAAAGTAGGTCAAACTCTTAGGTCAAGGTCAAAAATATTTATACCAGCTTAAAGGTCTTGTCACAATAAATACACATGTGAAGTATGAAAGCCCTAGCTCAAACTGTTCAAAAGTTATGGCCAAGGTTATTAATTTCTGCTATATACTCTTACCAAAAATGCGCAAGTTTGAGTAGATGTAACTAATTCAAAACAAACTTCTGAGAAGTTTCCTTTTCAGATCTTGTAAAACCATTCTTTATAAAGATTTTAGTACCAAAAAATACATAGCCATCCAGCAAGGCACGCAAGTTTGTTTCGGTGGAAGTCGAGCAGGTGCTTGAAAATCTAGTCCAGGGCCTAATCACTCCCCACTCTTGACAGTATATAGAAAAATCAGCACGCCCTAAATTTTAATAAATCTGGTCAATACAGGAAGTTTACATGTTGTTTTTCATCTCATAAAAAAAATCAGCTCCAGTCTCGTATCAAAATGCCCAAATCGGAAGGGAAGATTCCGGGATTATTTTGCGTCAGCCATGATTTGACATGAACCAAGGTGTAATACTGTTATGACACCTAAAGTGTGGTGTTTTTTTTTTAGTTGTAAACCAAAGTCAAGGGGTCAAATTTGGTGGTACCCAAAGAAAAGTTGTCACAAGGAGTAAACCTGTGAAGTATGAAAGCCATAGCCCCACCCACTTAATATTATAGGCTAGGTTAAAGTTGACTACAGACAGACAGAAAAATAGACAGGACACAAACAATATACCGCCGAGATCTGTCGATCCGAGGGCATAAAAATAGCAAAAGATAATATCAAAGGACTTCATCGAGTAGCAATAAAATTGTGTTTTGCATTCGAAGAACTTCAATAACAAATACTGAAAATCCTTAAGGACCAGGAAATATATTACAAGAGACAGGGGCCACATCGCTCACCTGAGCAACTAGCTAGATAAAAGCAAAAATCAGTTCCATATTGAAAAGTTAAAATATAAAAGTGAGTTCGAGGGGGGGTATTTGAAAAAAATTAAATCCATACTTATTTTGATGCTTTTATCTTGCTGATCAATCATGGCTTTGTAATTCTTGTTAAGAATTTTCTACTTTATCCTTCTAAAAACATTGATAACCCATTATGGCCCCACCCCTGCTCAAGGGGTCATGGTTTGAACAAACTTGAATCTACACTACCTGAGGATGCTTTCATATACCTATGACTTTACTGTTCTTAAGAGAAGATTTTTAAAGATTTTTCCTATGTATTCCTATGTTAAACTTTGATCCCCATTGTGGCTCATCCTACTCCCGGGGGTCTTGATTTGAACAAACTTGAATTTACACTACCAGAGGATGCTTCCACTTGTGTTTCAACTTTCCTGGCCCAGTTGTTCTTGAGAAGAAGATTTTTAAAGATTTTTTATGTATTCCCATGTTAAACTTTAATCCCCCATAATAAGGCCCCACCCTAACCATGGGGATCATAATTTGAACAAACTTGAATCTACACTACCAGAGGATGCTTCCACATGAGTTTCATCTTTCCTGACCATGTGGTTCTTGAGAAGAACATTGGCAATTGTTTCATATGTATGTATTATCAACCATCTTTGAAAATAAAAGAAAATGGATAAATTGACTTGGCCTCAATGTCAGCAGAGGTCAAGGGCAAATCTGAAAGTGATATAGAAAGGTATCCAAACTAAACTCACATGAAATCAGAAGTTGATCATCAGTAGCAGCAGAACTTTGATGTAGATATAAGTACAATCTGTATGCGTACAGAAGCTATTTGTTCCCAACTTGTTTTTCAAGGATGGCCTTAAACTTTTCTAATTCCCTAATCCGTTTCACCATTTGGAAAAACATGAAAACTTATAAGGTTCTGTGTAAAAACACGGGGTTCAGTGCTCCCAGAAAATTACCAACTCCTCTAAATCAATAACACGTCAAATGCAGAGCTAAAACAGAAATATTTACTTCTGCGTGACATTAAAGAAATGGATTGATTTTGCAGTTGAAATTGACATTTAATAAATTTAAGCCTTTAAAATGTTTTGTCTGACATTCATAGACTTTAGATTTATCTTTTCAGATGATGGCTGCATGCAAAAATTTGAGTGAAGACAATTTCTCCATTCCCGTTGAGCATAACAGCATGGAGTCGATTCTGGAAAAGAAAATGCACTTTATATTCATGGAGGTCGGGGTGCCAGCTGTCAGTGCTTTTGGATTAGTGGGAAACATCCTTAATCTGCTCGTATTGACCAAAGAAAAGGTCAACCATTGTTTGACAAAGATGGAGAAATCAGCTCACATAGGATTAATTGCTTTAGCTGTTTCTGACTTCATGTTTTGTCTCCTGGCCTTATTGTTCACCATACTGCCACCACAGGAAACATATCGAGAGCGAAACGGAGTCCTCTACTATCGTTGGCTTGGAAATGGTTTCATCACTTTCTTCATCATCAACAGTACATGGTTAATTGTGGTAATGGCAGGGGAAAGATACCTTGCCGTCTGCCATCCTTTTAAAGCCAGGAAACTGATATCGCTCAAAAAGACCAAGATTGCTATCTGTCTGGTGTACATGATCTGCATTCTTTCAATAATACCACTGTTTTTTGAGTCAGAAATAGTAGAAACAACATGCATTGATGGTTCCCGACTGTACAGAATTGAGAGACGTAAAAATTACAGTGACCAAACACGAAGAATGCTGTGGTCCATTATTTTCGATTTCATTCCATGTATTGCCCTCTTGTTCTTTAACGTCTGTCTGGTCTGGAATATTCGCGTAGCCAAGCGCATACGTAGAGAGCTGACCCCCGGACAGAGCAATGACATTGTTATGTACTGCTCCTCAATGAAAAGCACAGAGGAACAAGGCACTCATTCCTCCTCCAGATCCAACAACAGCTGTAATGGTTGTCCTAAAAAAGACCTGGCACAGAGCTCATTGATAAAAACCAGAAAACCGGGAATGGTTTCCCATCGCAGACGGAGCTCTGACAGTGCCCTTAACAGTGTGACCGCCACATTACTGGCAGTGGTTGTGCTCTTTCTAATACTTGTTTCCCCATCTGAAATCATTAAGTTCATTTACGCCAAGATTCACATAGTTGACTCCGTTGGTAAAAACAAGCACTATTACTACCACAAGATTATACTGCATGTGACAAATTTTATGCAAGCTCTGAACTTTTCAATTAATTTCATCTTATACTGTGCTGTTAACAAATCTTTCAGAAAAACACTCCGTAACCTTTTTCCTTTCTGTCACCAAAGTCGGCCCAGAGCTCAATTCATCAAACGTATGCCACAAACACACTGTCATAACCTGACATAAAAACAAATTGTTTAATCTGTATAAATTGTATAGACATGACCTCATTACATGTATTTGGCTACAATTTCTATGTTTACAAAAAGGAACCAAAAAATGGGAATGAAATTGTTAATAAAAAAAGAATTCTGCATTTCTAGAATGCTACGTCCCATGAACTATGCATACTTATAGCTTCTCTTTAAAATGCTGCCTCTTCACAACTGGAGAGGGGAAGGATTGTGGATACTACACAAACAATGTAATATTCAGATTCTACGGATTTTTTTTCACAAAGCAATTCCATTAAAGTGTTAATTTAAACTATTTCACAGTATATTGTATAAATTATATAATAGCAGTAACTGTATGCATTGATGGTTTCTTAAAATAAAAATAATAAAATAGCTTCATGTATTGTTTCTATTTCATCACCAATCTAAAATGAATGCTTGCAATTGTAAATTTATGTCCCTTGCAGCACAATGACAAGTCTTTAATGGCCAGCTCATGACTGGTCTGTTCCTCTCAAATTATTATTGTTCCTTTAAAAAATATATTTTATATCATGGTTTTGATTTAAAACAAAATTATTCTAGCAATAAAATATTTTTGACAACCTTTTAAAAGATTTTCAAAAAGTGTTTTAAAAAATATTGAGAAAATATATAAATACAACAAGAGATGTTTGTAAAACACTTATGCCCCCCTCCCCCCAAACTGGAATTTTTCCAAGTCCAAAAGGGCATTACTCTGTCAAAAATGGCACGATTGTACCCAAAACAGAACTTGACCTAGATAGTCATCTGATAAATATGTATACTAAATTTCATCTCAGTATGTGCAACAGTTGCAAAGAAAATGAATGGAAACTGCAAATAATTGGAATTTTTCTAGGTTCAAGGGGCATAACTCTATCAACAACGGTGCGTTCGTACCCAAAACAGAACTTGACCTAGATATTTATGTGATATATCTGTATACTAAATTTCATCTCAGTATGTGCAACAGTTGCAAAGAAAATGAACGGAAACTGCAAATAATTGAAATTTTTCTAAGTCCAAGGGGCATAACTCTGTCAAAAATGGTGCCATCATACCCAAAACAGAACTTGACCTAGATATTCATGTGAAATATCTGTATACCAAATTTCATTTCAGTATGTACAATGGTTGCGAAGAAAATGAACAGAAACTAAGTGGACTGACAGACAGCAGCAAAGCAATATGCCCTCCCTTCTTCGAAGTGGGGCATAAAAAAGTTAACATTTTTTAAATCCAGATAAGGTAATTCATTCATGTTCAGATCTATTTCAAACATAATATAGAAAAAGATTATGCTCTGGTACTAAGGAATGGAACCTTATGATGTATATAATTCCCCCCATAAATGTGCAAATTCATTTCATTGCAAAACTTGTAATACTTCCAATTACTCTAAATAACAAAGGGAGAAAACTGACTGAATTTTATTGACTGTAGCATGTGTAAGGAACGACACTTCAAAACAAGGGGCCCATGGGCCTTATAGGTCACCTGAGCATTATGCAACAACATTCCAGTGATTGAATTTGATTCATGTTTTAAGCCAGATGCTATGGCATTCACAACTTTGAAAGAGGCACCATTGATCATCATAATTATACACTTAGCAGTTGCTTAGTTTGGTTACTTAATACACATAGGCAGGGTAGGGGAACAAAAAATACATTTCAACTAATCAGTAATATTCAGCTATAATCAGTAGTGCCCCTACCACACATGCACCCCTGACCCTTAGGCCTAGATCCACACATTGCACAATTTTTGAAAATGCATCCTTGCTTTTCAAAAATATTTGATTAATACCAAGGAGCAGATTTCAAACCATTCTTTTTTAGTATATAAGTACAGCCCCCCCCCCCCCCTATGGTTCCCCTGACCCTGGGGCCTTGAAATTCACAATTCTTAAGGCCCTTGCTCATCATAACTATATAGGTAGTTCATCTGCTTAATACCCAGGAGCAGAGAAGAAAATTTTCAAAGATTTAATATATTTTCACTATATATAATCAATTAGCCTCGCCTTAATTAACACCAGAACCCCTGACCCTGGGGCCATAAAATTCACAATTTTGGTAAAGGCACTCTTGCTCATCATAACTTTGCACTTAGTTAGTTTATTTAATACCTAGGAGCAGAGAAAAAGATTTTCAAAGAATTCATGTATTTTCACTATATAATCAATAGAGCCCCGCCTTAACACCAGAACCCCTGACCCTGGGGCCATAAAATTCACAATTTTGGTAAAGGCACTCTTGCTCATCATAACTATGTACTTAGTTAGTTTATTTAATACCTAGGAGCAGAGAAGAAGATTTTCAAAGAATTCATGTATTTTCACTATATAATCAATAGAGCCCTGCCCTAACTCCAGAACCCCTGACCCTGGGTCCATAAAATTTAAAATTTTGGTAAAGGCACTCTTGCTCATCATAACTTTGCACTAAGTTAGTTTATTTAATGCCCAGGAGCAAAGAAGAAGATTTTCAAAGAAATAATGCTTTTTCACTATATACTTTTTTAGCCCCGCCCTAGCACTAGAACCCCTGACCCCAGGTCCATGAATTTCTCAATTCTAGTAGAGGACACACACTGATTACAATCATGCAAACAGTTTGACTGCTTGATGTCCAGGAGTAAAGAAGAAGATTTTTAAAGATTGCATTAATTTGAGTGGTTTTGGCCCCACCCCTAAGGCCCCAGGGGGGCGGGGACCATAAAATTCAAAATTTTTGTTCCCCTTCACCCATAGATGCTATATACCAAATTTGTTTGAAATTGGTTCAGTGGTTTTAGAGAAGAAGCTGAAAATGTTCAAATGTTAACACAGGACGGATGATGACGGACGAAAACGGATAGCAATAGGTCACCTGAGTTTACTCAGGTGACCTAAAAATTGACAAATTCTACAGTAAAAGTACATGCATTAAAAATCAAATCTATAAAGAGAATAAAGTCTCCAGAATTACAGGTTTGGCAAATTAACATACCAAAAAAAATGCATTTTCTAAATAAATTAATCTAAAACAGCTCTAGATGCACATCTGTACAAATACTCAGCAAAGGGTAAACTGTTGGAGAGACCATTAATTCATGTAAACAAATATTAAAAGGTTTGGATGGGTTTTTTTTTTCAATCATAACCAGCTGGCACCTAGCTGACTATAGAATAAGACAGGCACTTCAGTTTAAAATGTTATCTGGTATGCACATTTACCTAGTATACAAGATTCGCTTACACAACAACTTATTATACCCCCGCTTGAAAAGTGGGAGGGTATATAGTAATCGGTATTTCCGTCCGTCCGTCCATCTGTTACGCTTTGGGGTACCCATCTCTTATCCGCAACTCCTCTCATACCACTGAAGGAAATTTAATGAAACTTTCATAGATTCTTAATTACATATTGCCATTGTGCACCTCCTATTTTTCTTTTTGATCTGACATATATTTTTGATTTTCCATAGCAAAACTTGGACACTGCCATTATATTCATATGGGAGGCGGGGGGTATTATTTAGTGAGCTCATTGCTTACAGTACCTCTAGTTTAATTATTACAGTACAGCTGTACTGAATAAATTTTTTTTTCTAAATTTCCTTAATAAAATTCACTTGAATTCACTGTTATGCTCCCTAGCTCTAACAAAGATCTCATTTTCATGGCAATATTCAGTATGTTAGACACATAATTTTGACACTTTTGAGATTAAAGCCAGTCCGAGACCTTGGTCAAGATTCTGGGTCCTCTTTATCAATTTTATTGGACCTATTTTAGGAATTTTATTGGGAATAATTATCTTGAAAACTTGCTATTTTTGTTCTACATAAGGAACTTGTTTTCATCGACAACTACAGAGTATTAATATTAAAAGCTGATATCCCACTCCATCAACTTTGAAAATAACTGTTTCAATTTAACACACATCATCAAAGCACTCCATTGTTTTGCTTCAATCTATCTGAATGTTTTGGTCATGCATAACATCAATACAGTTTTAGTTCCATGTAGATTTTCAGGACATTGATAAAAATTTGACTATCAACCTGGGACATGAATTACAGACCATGGTAGACTGTTGCATTGGTGTTATACAACAAATATTTAATCAATATAAATTGCAGAAATGGTTGACTTCTTTTCTAGAGTGTACAATGCAGAAATCTAAAATTATAGTGTATCATTCTCTGAAAAATAAACTTAAGCCGGAGGGAATAATTTAGTAATTGGGATGTCCATCCATCTGTCCGTCTGTCTGTTACACTTTGGGGTGCCCATCTCTTATCCGCAAGTCTTAGCTCTCATAACACTGGATGAAACTTTCACACTGAGATTCTTTATTTATTTACATATTGCCATTGTGCACCTCCTATTTTACTTTTTAGCTCTCATACCTCTGAATGAAAGTTGATGAGACTTTCACAGAATCTTTTTTACACATTGCCATTGTGCAGCTCCTATTGTGCTTTTTGATCCAACACATGTTTTGGGTTTCCCATAGCAAAACATGGAAATCGCCATTATATTCACATGGAAGGGGGTTTTATCTAGTGAGCTCATTGCTCACAGTAACTCTAGTACATGTATATAAATTGCATTAACTTATTTCTTTCATTCTACACTAAACAAGTCTTTTCTCAAAAAACAACCAAAAGTAACTTGTATTATTTAGAGATCGAGTTCTTTTAAATTATTAATTACTTTTTGTAATAAATGCATGTATTGGTATTCTAAATCAGAAAAATATTGAGTAAAAATTGCATTTTATATAGAATTTTGCCTAAAAATTTCATCTAGAAGGTGAATGTACTGCAGGCCTGCAGAATAATGGTGTCTGCATTATCATAGCATCGCTGTATCTCATTCTGAAAGAAGTGGATGCATGCAGCCATGTCATTTTTCTACAGCATGGTGTGCTTTTTCTCATATTTCAGGTTAATAGCTGCTGTGCTTAATGAGAGTTTTATTTTTAGAGAGTTCCGAGATTCAAAATTTGCTTTCACTACCTCACTTCCTGAATATGTGCAAGCCAAATTGAAAATTAATTTTAATCAATTAATTCAACCTCAACAACAACAACAACAGGAAATTTGACAGTCAATCAGAGATATATAATACACTTGTCATAAATTCTTGTATGTAAATCAATTACCTAGATTGCATATTTTTTTTTTTTTTAATTGATACATAATTATTTTCCAGATTTTATATTACATTGAATTTCTTATTTTAAATTCACATCGTCTTATTTAATACTTCTTCCTGAAGTCACACAAATTTAGAAGACATACACAATATTAAACATATTGTAGACATACTTTTTTCTGCCTGAGATTAATTAATGCTATGAATGTGGTCAC